ATAAAAATATGCTCAAAAATCACTTAATCACTAGGATAATGCAAATAAGAACGATAATAAGGTATCACTTCATACCCATCAGGACAACTACTATGAAAACAGAAAATTACAAATGTTGTTGGCAAGGATGTGAAAATATTGGTGTCCTTGTACACTGTTGGTGGTAATGTAAAATGGTACAGTTACTATCAAAAACTGTATAGCAATTTCTGAAACAATTAATATAGAATTACTGTGTAACCCTACAGCTCTACTTCTGGGTAGATACTCCGAAAATTGCAAGCAGGATTATCTATACACCTTACTTCACAAAAAGCAATAATAACAATAACCAAAAGGTGAAACAACACAAAGGTTCATTAACTGATAAACAAAACAAAAAACAAAAAAACAAGCCAGTCCCTAGTTCTACCTTATCTTCAGCATGTCCAGAGTCCAGTGTACATAAAATACATTGAATGTGGGCTATCGGTATAAGTATCAGCTCCACAGTATATAAAGAATGAAGTCAACAATTCAACATTATTTAGCATATAATGGGCAAAACAGTATAGTATTTTTAGGAAACTGCAGATCTTTTAGAATATTTTTCAGATATGTTAAAGATAGGAAAGAAAGAAAAAATATCTGTTTAATTTAAACTAAGAAAGGAGATTGCCACCACAGATTTAAGTATTATAGTTTTCAATCTCAGTGGCTTGCAAGGCTGAGACAGGAGGATCACAAGTTCAGGCCAGCCTCAGCAATTTAGTGAGGCCCTAAGCCAACTTAGTGAGACCCTGTCTCAAAATAAAAAAATAAAATAAAAGGGCTGAGGATATGGCTCAGTGATTAAGCATCCTTGGATTCAATCCCTGGACAAAACAAAGTATTATGCTTTTCAGAGAAATTTTGTTCAGCAACTTAATAACTTATTTTCCTTATGTTAGAGTCATAAGAGAACTACATAATACCTTCATACCCCAATATTCAAAAATATTTGCATAAAACAAAATTAATAAGCAGCTAAATCTGTCTGATTTGCCTATTAATACACATGGGGACACTAAAACATATTTCACCTGATTTTGGCCTTTAAATCCTCTTTACTGAAATGTTCATTATCACAATATTCAAACAACAGGCTTGAATTTCTTTTTCTTTTCTCCCACACGCCACCCCTCTGCAGTGGGGTCTAAACCCAGTCGGCCTCTACCACAGAGCCACACCTCCAGAGTCTGATAAATTGCTTTAGCATTTACAGCACTTTAGCAGAAGGACTTGGAATTCTTCAGCCCCAGCATTCTGAGTCTTTTGAGTTATAGGCCTACACCACCATGCCCAGCTTCTTCGCTGCTTCTTCCTTCCTTCCTTCCTTTTTTTCCCCTCTAGGATCTCATGCATGCTAAGCAAGTAGTTCTAATACCAAGCTACTTCCCCAGCCCTTTTTAAAATTTTTATTCTGAGACAGGATTTCACTAAGTTGCCCAGGCTGGCCTCGAACTTGCAATATTCCTGCCTCAACCTTCAAACAGCTTGGATTATAGATGTGTGTGATTATTTTCTTTATTATGAGCTTTCTGTTTTACATGTTAGATTCTGCTTAGATCATTTAATCTTAAAAATACCATTTTAAAATATCAGAAATATGTGCAGCAATTTTTGTCAAGATAAATGAGCCTGAGTTTCTTTATCAGTAAAATGGTAAAGTTCATGAATCATTCCACAAAAGTGTACCAATAAATGCCTATGATAAGGCATGGACTCTTCATTTGTTAGAAATACAATGATGACAAAAATCACCAAATGCTTGTGAAGATTAGATAAGAGACCAGCTTATGTAAAACAAAAGTGACACTCCACCTAACTATTGCAAATTTAAGTTAGTAGTCTCGTGGATAATTAAGATAGGGAAGAAGAGAGCCATCTTTTTAGGTATAACAAAAAAATGAGATTAATTAGAGCTTCAAGACACACAAAAAAGTATAATAGGAACAGAAGTCAATGATCAAAAAACAAAATAAACTTTAAAAAGTCAACAGCTAAAACATACCAATGATAACTATATGAAGCTCACTTCAAATATACCTAGAAAAAGTAGTTATCTACTAAATCATCAAGAGAAAAATAGCTAACAGAGTTAAAGAGAATATTAAAGGCAAAAATTAGAAGGAACTAAAGTAACATTATGCTATCTCTAACTTTACTAACAGGTTTTTAAAATAATAAAAATAAAAAGTATTTATATTAATTCATCATAATTAAAAAAATAATTTCTAAATAAAGTCTAAAAATCCTAAGTATGTATAATCTTTCCCTCAAGAAGGAAATGAAAATAAGTAGGGCTTCTTGAAAGGTGTTGTTTGTTTAAAGAAACTTTACTAATGAGAAAAACATTTTCTTGAAAGAAAGGACTTCTAAATTATTAATGCTTTTTTACATATCCTTATGGGAAAATACACAGACCTAAATTTGTAAAGGATATAGTTCAATTTATACAGTTATAAGTGTTACATTATAAACAGATGTGTTAGATGGAAAGAATATGTTATGTAGATTTTAGATAATTATTGTCTGTAACATAATTCTTTAAAAATCCAGATATACTAGACATTGGTGTTATAAAATAATTCTCAACACAGATCTATTAATTTTCTCTACGGTGAGGCAATAAATGCAATATTAAGAGCTGAGATGCAGCAGCCACATTTGAATCTAGCTAGTTCTTTGTTAACCTCTTTGTACACCTCAGTTTCCTAATCTATAAAATAGTACTGAAACCTCATTGGGTTTTTAGGAAAATGAAATGTGTTAACAGGTGTAAGTAAGGTAAATGCTCAGAATAGTGCTGATACACTAAGTACTAGATTAAGTGTGAATACCAGAAAAATGCCTGTCCTGTGCCAATCACTGAAATAAGGAGAGAACAGAACCAACAAAAATCCCTTCATCTTGTAACATTTATATTTTAGTGGAGAGATTATATTCTGGAGTTAAGAAGTAAAATTTATTTAGGTAGCAAATCACCTAATCCAGATATGTACTTAGGAAGAAGGAGTAGTATGACTAGTGGAAACTGAATGAAAAAGTTTCCATAGCATCCAATTCTATAAAGAAAGGTATTCTAAACCCCAAAATGAGTTCCATTCTTGGCACTGCAAAAACAATAGCAATGATAATATTAATGACTAATTTCTGTTGTTCATATATCTTTGTAAACCAAAAAAAAAAATACTACATGACTTGAAGTCATCATTTAGCATCAATCAAAATGGACATGATCAATTGTCTCCAAATGTAGTTATGTACTTTATTTACTCTCATCCTCAAACCAATTCCAAAAGTCAATCAGTATCAAAAAAGTTAAACCAAAGCCATCAAAATACAAGAACACAGTAAACAAGAAAACAATCTCAGGAGCACCAAAAACTAACTGAAAATATTAAGTCTTGCAATATATTTTAAATGTAACACTTAACATCCTGAATATAATTATTACATAGCAGAAAAAATAGTTGCCTAACTAAGCAGCACTTTTTTCCTACTATATATGAAATTAACCTCTGTGTAGCAAAAATAAAGGGAGTTAACCAAAAGAATTTTTCCTATTAAAGAGGAGGAAATAAACAAGGCAAACCTCTTTCCTTGGAACAAAACATACTATAAACAGCAGCTGATAATTCAATCATTTACAAGGTATCCATCAAAAGCAACAAATTTCAATGTTGGGGGAAGGGAATGAGCAGATAGGAGGTTTCATTAAATAAACCTCCTAACTTTTCCTTACTCAAGTACCTCAACATTGTCCAAGAATCATGGCCTTTTGAGAACCACTGTTATTGAAAGTCACTGTGCTGCATTCCTCAAAAGATGCAAATCACTAATCTATATCCTCTGTACATAACAATAAATTCACTTTCTTACTGCAAAATTATATTTTTATAACATAACTCAGTTCTTGCCACTTCAATTAAGTAGTGTTCAAATCCTCCTTTTTGCAGTAAGTGAAAATGATAATGGTTATTTTCAGTCTCAAAACAAACAGAGGTAAACAAATCTGTCATTTGATTTTATGAGTCCTCTTACTCTAGCAAAATAATGGCCATCAAGAAACCTTTGAGGTCCTAATTATCCTGAACAATATTATTTATTCCACAGTGAAGTTTTATACATTATCAATTTGCATTGATATCATTCTTCTCTAGAATGTAGGGGTTGAAGGTAAAACATCTGAAGTTAAGGGAGTAGAAAGAATGGTACTAAATAGAACCTGAGACTAAAGGAAACAAGAGCCAAAAGATGGAGATAATTTTTTTCCCTGAATCAAATGTTACTGGACTCTTTAGTCATGTGTGCCTGTTTAGGTTAGAATTTTTTTTTTCACTTATAATTTGTAGAGTTCTAACCGCTATAGTTAAATCCTATAGTCTAGCCTCAGACTTTAAGCAATATTGTTATTGAAGAAGTTCTAGCAAAGCTGTTAAATTGTGATCTAACACTAATGGTTTTACTGTTTGAGCAAAATTTTAAGATAAATTGCATTTAAGACTAAAATTTTAATTAAACTTTCTTGTAACACACATTTCAAAATCACTTTTCCTCAGTAAAATATACCCGAAAAGAGAAACTCAGCTCACCATATACTCAATTTCCAAGTCTCAAAAATTCTGAAGAAATGTCCAATGCTTTAGATACATTACAAAAGCTAAAAGTTACAGAGGAATAAAAGTGCAAAACACAGAATAAAATCCAGGACACTCCCCCCACCCCCCGCTGGCATTCGGTCCCTGATTTTAGAAATTTAAATATCTTTTTGCAATGAAAACTATTCACAATTGAGCCAGCCAATATTCCTTGGGCAATGATTTGATTAAATCAAAATTGAAACAAACCAATTACCTAATTCAATCTAATTCTGGTAAAAAATATTGAATTTAAGCTATGGAACACAATATTTACATAGTATTAATCTACTTAACACACAACTTCATTTCTAAGAACTGAAAAATAAATTAACTTACCTCAATTGTTTCGCATAGTTCTGTTCAATTTCTATCCTCTCTTTAACAAATTTGGCATATCTTTCCAAGAAGTCAATTCCCCATTGTGTATGCTTGTCTAAGCTGTCGAACTGATCCTACAGAAGGAAAATGAAAATGCACTGACAAAGTCTGAATTTAATGCACAAATATTTTTATCAGCTTCTGATATTTGTACAGACAAACAATGAGGTATAAAAGGAAAAACATTACCCTTTAAGCCTACAAATAGGGGCTGGGGTTGTGATTCAGAGGAAAGAGCACTCACCTAGCATGCCTGAGGCACTGGGTTCAATCCTCAGCACTACATAAAAATAAAATAAAGGTATTGTGTACACATACAACTTTAAAAAAAAATGTTAAAAAAAAGACCTACAAATAGGTTTCTAAGCAAAATGCTACTTTATTCCAAAATGCTTTTTTACCAACACAGTTCACCCCAGTTTCAATACTCTACCCTGATCATCTTTTTTGCAATTAATTTTTATTTCCCTTGAGATTCAACTCAGGCATTACACCCTTCCAGAAAACAGTCCTAAACTCTCTTGACTGGGATAAATGGTTTCTCTAGGTCCCCAAGATCCCAAAAATTACTATCTTATGTTCTTGCTATGTCATATTGAGGGCAGAAATCACTTATTATTCAACTCAGAATTCTCAAGGCCTAAACACCATGCTCAGCACCACTTACGCACTCAATGAAGAACTGTTTAGCTGAATAAAATCATATATACCTGGGTTCAAATTTTAAGATTAGCCATTCACAGGATGTTTCAGGTTGGGCAAGTTTTTCAAGGGTCTTTGAATTTTTTTGTATCTTAAAGTATACGTCCATCACTCAACTCATAGGACTGTGGTGATGTCAAGTGTTCTAAACTGCAGTAAACTTGACACTAACATATTGTACAGTATCATTGTCCTATAAGACTCTTTCAATCCTCAAACATATTTTCTTTCACCTGCAGCCAGAGACAAACAATTCCCTTCCTTTAAGGATAATCTCCAAATTGACTGATAACTTGGAGAACTCTCTTACACATACCAAAAGTCTACAATATATTTCAATATCATCCCTCGATATTTCCAAGATGTCAAAAATTGCCTGATGCTTAACCATGTTTGCTACTTACAAATTCATCATCTCCTTTCCATTTTATATTTTCCCATACTATATAAATTCTACTAAAAGTGGAGTCTATCTAAATAGCAGAGATATAATTCATCAGCTGATCATAGTTTATTATTATTCCTCTATTCATTTGGCTTCTAAATCAGATTTGAACACAACAAGAAAATGAACTGCTGCGTAAATTTTGTCTGCATGATATGTTCCATCATAAATTGGAATTCTCTTTCAAACTGAAAAACTCTCAACAAAATACAATCCCAAAAATAATCCTCTGAAATGTAAACATCTTTGCTCATTTTTCCAAATTGCTTCAAAGGCTCCTCTTCCCATTAGTTTTATCATCAAATTCTAGGCAACACTTCTTCATCTTTTAGAAAAAGCCTTCAAATTTTTTATTACAAGCCCCATGTTAAAAAAAAAAAAAACTAAATAAATGCCTCAATTATATGTATGATTATTTATAAATTAACTGATATACTATTTTTTATAATTTTGAAATCTATATCTTCTCTAGCACTTATTATTGTTTGTAATTTTTAACATTTGTTTTTTAGTTATAGATGGACACAATATCTTTATTTTATTTTTATGTGATGCCTCATGCATGCTAGGCGAGCGCTCTACCTCTGAGCCACAACCTCAGTCCCTACTGTTTGTAATCTTGAGGGCTGCCATTCTAATTGGTGTGAGATGAATATCTCAGTGTACTTTGAATTTGTATTTATCCAATTGCTAACAATGTTGAATAATTTTTTCATATATTTCTCAGCCATCTGTAGTTCTTCATTTGCCCATTTACTATTTGGGTTATTTGTTTTTATTGGTGTTAAGTTTTTTGAGTACTTTATACATTCTAGATACAAAACTTCTCTTTTGGGGGGAGTGGTACTAGGGATTGAACCCTGGGGCACTTAACTCCTCTTTTGTTTTGTTTAAATTTAGAGACAAGGTCTCCCTAAATTGCCCATGCTAACTTTGAACTCACAATCCTCCTGCCTTAGCCTCTTGTGCCACTAGGATTAACAGGCGTGTCACTGCTCGCGGCCCTAAAACTTCTGTCAGAAGAGTAGCAAGCAAACATTTTCTTATAGGATCTCTATTTACATTATTAATTGCTTCCTTTGCTGTGCAGGGCTTTTTAATTTCCTATCTCATATAGACCCTTGGCATTATTTCCTGAGCTTAAGGGGTCCAACAGAGAAAGTTGTTGCCTGCACCTATATGTTGGAGTGTTGACCCTATTGTTTCCTTCTAGAGTTGCATAGTTTCTGGTCTAAACTGTAGGTCTTTAATCCATTTTGAGTTGACTTTCATACACAGTAGGAGACAAGATCCCTCACTTTACATATGAATAATCAATCTTCCCAGCACCATTTGAATAAAAGGCTATCTTTTCTCTAGTATGTTTTTGGCATCTTCATCAAAGATCAGATGACTATACCTGGGTGTGTTTGTATCTGTCTTCTATTCTGTTTCACTGGTCTATGTCTACTTTTATGCCAATACCATGCAGTTTTAATTACTATAGTTCTATAATATAATTTGAAGTCAATTACTGTGATGGCTCTAGGACTGCTTTTTAGGCTTAGAATTGCTTTGGCTATTCTGGGTCTTTTATTCTTCGAAATAAATTTTATGACTGTTTTTTCCAATTCTGAAAAGAATGTTATTGGTATTTTGATGGAGGTTGCACTGGATCTGTACAATGCTTTGGGTAGTATGGTATTTAAACAATACTAACCCTGTCCAACTGTGATCATGGGTGGGTCTTTCTATTTCTTGTCTCCAATTTCTTTCTTCAATGTTCTATAGTTTTCATTGTACAGATCTTTCATCTCCTTGGTTAGATTTATTCCAAGGATTTTTCTGTGAATGAGACTGTTTTCTTTCTTAGGAGATTCATTATTTGTATATAAGAAAGCTATTGATTTTTTTGTACTGGGGATTGAACTCAGGGACACTTGACCACTGAACCATATCCCCAGCCCTGTTTTGTATTTTTATTTAGAGACAGGGTCTCACTGAGTTCCTTAGTGCCTCACATTTGCTGAAGCTGGCTTTGAACTTATGATCCTCCTGCCTCAGCCTCCCCAGCCACAGGGATTACAGTCTTGTGCCACTGTGCCCAGTTAGAAAGCTATTGACTTTTGTATGTTGATTTTGTAACATGCTACTCTGCTGAATTTATTACAACCAGCAGTAAATTTTAAGTAGGAGATCATACGGTATCACTGCAAACAGTGATAATTTGGTTTCTTCCTTTCCTATTAATTGCTCTAACTAGAATATCTAGTACTATCTTATATAGGAATGGTAAGAGTAGACATCACTGTCTTTTTCCAAATTTTAAAGAAAATGCTTCCAGTTTTTCTCCATTCCCTATGATGTTGGCTTTGGGTTTACCATACATGGCCTTTATGATGTTCAAGTAATTTCCTTTGATCCCTATTTTTCATTATTTTTATCATGAATGGGCACTAAATTTTGTTGAAGGCTTTCTCTGCATCTATTTTGATGACCAAGTGATTTTTGTCATTATCCTGTTTATATAATGAATTATATGTACTGATTTGCATATGTTAAACCACCCTTACATCCCTGGGATAAAACATACTTGGTCATGCTGTATAATCTTCTTAATATACTGTTGAATATGATTTGCTAATATTTTATTAAGGATTTTTGCATCTGAATTCATGGATGTTGGTCTGTAGCATTCTGTCATGTGTCTCTATCTGGTTTTGCTATGAGGGTGATACTGGCTTCAAAGAATAAATTTGGAAGTGATCATCCCTTTCTATTTCATGGAATAACTTAAGGACCGTGAGTATTAGTTCTTCTTTAAAGGTCGGGTAGAATTCAGCTGAGAATCCGCCTGGTCCTCGCTTTCTTTGTTGGAAAGCTTTTTATTATTGCTTCTATCTCATTGAGAACTATTAGTCTAAGTTTGCTATGTCTTCTTGATTCAACTTTGGCAATTCATAGATATTTAGAAATGTGTCTATCTCACAGGTTTTTTCAATTTATTGGTGTATAAATTTTCAAAATAATCTCTAATGATGTTCTGGATTTCTGTGGTGTCTGTGGTGATTTCTCTTTCTTCATCTCTAATTTTATTTATTTGAGTTTTTCCTCTTCTATTTTTGGTTAGTTAGGCTAAGGGCTTATAGATTTTGTTTAATCTTTAAAGAACCAATTTCATTGAGCATGTGTACTTTTTTTTTTTTTTTAATTCTCAAATTTCATTTATTTGGGCTCTGAACTCGTTTCCTTCCTTTTATGGATTTTGGAAGTAGTTCTTGTTTTTCAAGGGTCTCAAGATGCACTATTGGACTGTTTACTTGAGATCTTTCTGATTTTCCTATGTAGGCACTCATAGCTATAAACATTCCTCTTAGAACCTGCCTTTACGGTGTCACAGAGGTTCTGGTATGGTCTATAACTTCAAAGAATTCTTAAAATTTCTCCCCTAATTTCATCTATCATCCAAATATCATTCAAAAGTGTACTGTGCCGGGTGCAAATGCATACACCTGTAATCCCTGTGGCTTAGGAGGCTGAGACAGAAGGATCACAAGTTCAAGGCCAGCCTCAGCAAATTCATGACCCCCTAAGCAACTTAATGAGACCCTGTCTCAAAATGTGGTTTAAAAAAAAAAAAGAAGAAGAAATGGAGCTAGGCTTCTTCACAACAAAGGAACCAATCAAGAACATGAAGAGAGAGCCTATAGGAGAATATCTTTGCCACCTGCACCTCAGAGCATTAATCAACACAGCTCATACTTCCACACTCAGTTCATACCTCAAGAAGAAAGGAAAAGATAATCAGTTGGGCACACAGAGCAAACACATAAGCTCACTGACTATTATATCTACCATAGTGGAAGAGACTCCTTAATTTATTAACTTTTCACCAAGACCCCCTCCCCCTTTTCTTTCTGTTCTTGTTGTTTTCTTTGCTTTATGTTT